TACATTTTGATACGAAGAGGTACATTACTTTGAGATATGACGCCTCAGCACCAGGGCTCGGCGCCGTACCGTCTCACAAGATGGATGAACAGACCGAGAAACCCATCAGTTTTGTCTCTAAGAGCTTATCACCGGCAGAGGAGAACTATGCACAATTGGATAAGGAGGCGTTAGCAGTTACATCCCGCGTTACGAAATGCCACCCCTATCTCTGGGGAAGAAGTCTCGTAATCTTTACTGATCACAAACCCCTATCAGCCTTGATTAGTGAGCAATCAGGTGTCAACTTACCGTATACAACTTTAGGCATTATTGCTATCGGCTCATAATTACACTATCTCCTACGTTCCTGGGAAATCTAACGGAACTGCGGACGCCTTGAGTCGGTTGCCGTTGAATCATCTGTCAGATTGTGTGTTGGAACCGACTGAGATAGCCCATTTAATTCAGGACTTGACTAAGAGGCCGGTGTTGAACGCGGATATCCGCAGAGAGCGTAATGTACATCTCAGCAAAGTTAAACATTTGGTCTTTCAAAGGTAGCCCGATGAATGTGACCCGGAAACATTACCTTACTTCGCCCGACGTACAGAACACAGCCTCGAGGATGACTGCCTCTTATATGGTCCAGAGCTATTGTACCGCCTCGGTTAGGACATTATGTGCTGGAGGAACGGCCCGAAGCTCACCCAGATAGCACCGGAATGAAAGGGCTCCCGCATTCTTATGTGTGGTGGCCCGGAATCGATAGCGATATAGAAAGATTGATCAAACACAGAAAGAAACGCCCTACCGGTGCACTGAGTCCATGGAAATGGCCCGACAAGCCATGGGAGCGCATACATGCACTAGTTTGGTCCGCTTAATGGAAAGATGTTTCTTCTCATAGTCGATGCCTATTGAGGCATTTCCTATGACACAGGTCAATTGCGAAACAAGTAGTTCCTACATGCGAACATGTTTTGGTACATCCGGTATTCCGAAAACACCAGTGACAGACAACGGCTCCGTATCCACTAACCAACGGTTTCAAGAGTTCCTTCAAAATAACGGCACCAAACATGTGAAGGCCGCCCCTTACCACCCAGTCTCAAATGGGCTAGCGGAAACTGCAGTTCACGCAGTAAATAACGCGTTGCAGAAATAATTGCCCGCTCCACTCCGAACGAAGTTGGACGAATTTATATTCGCCTACCGTTCCACCCCAAGTGAAACGACAGGCAAGAATCCAGGCGAATTGATGTCAGGCAGAAAGCTTAGGGCGCGGTTTTTCTGATCAGAGACTACACGTCGAGGTGCGGCAAGAGAAATCTAAGGTGAGGTACGATCGACAAGTTGGTACGGATGAGCCAGTTTACACCAAACTGCCCCACGAACCGACTTGACAATCTGCAGAGTTGGGCGAAATCGAAGTCCATAGAGCAGAGGTTGCACTACAGAACGACAGGGTAGTTACCAGTCATATGGATCAGGTCCGCCGTCGTTCTGTATCAGCCGGGCCAGACGATATATTGCCAAGCCCGTCAACGGAGCCAGCAGTCGCGGAGGACACACAGAACACAATACAACTGGAAGCCCAACCAATACACTGCGTGGATAGAGTACGCTATGCAGTGTTTCGAAACGACTTGGAATGGTGCAAAATGCAAAACAAGCCTTACGCTCAATGACGGTGTCAAGCCGGTCTTCCGACCCAAAGGACGATGTCTTTTCAATTGTTGATGCCGAACCCGGTCGTCTGGAACAAGTTGGCGTCATTCAACTACTCAGCATGGGCAGCACCTATTGTTATCAGGTATTCGTATCTCTACTGACCATTCTACGGGATTGAATGCTGCATTAAAATGCAACAATACTCCTTGCCAGTCCCAGATTTATTTGCTAAGCTCAGTGGTGGTGCTTACTTCGCAAAACTAGATTTGCAGACGCTTATATTCAAATTGAAGATGATAAAGCTCCAAGAGAGTTGCTGATGATCAATATGCACCGAGGTCTTCACAAATTCAAACGTTCGCCATTTGATGTAAAATCAGGTCCCGCGATCTTTCAGCAAACTAGGGACACGATGTTACCTGGGTTATCAAGGGTTGCCGCTTATTTGGACGACATTATCAAACGATCGACCCACCGAGAACTGACGGAAAGGTTGGAAGCAGTTCTCAACCGCGTTTGTGACTACAGGTTTCACTTGAAAGCAATAAAGTGCAATACCGGTATGAAGGATATAAAGTGTCTTAGTTTCATCATCGACAAGCATGATTGTCATTCGGATCGTTCCAAATTAGTGCCACCAAACAGATGTCTACCCCCGAAAGAAGAAATAAAGGCATCAGCAGTACGTCGGTACGCAGCACCGACGCTTCGCTGCCGCGCAACCACCACCGGTCGCACGTGGGCTAAGGATACTGCAAGAATCGCCCGGTCCCTACGCAGGATCGAACCCAAGCCGCCAGGTTACAAGTCAAGCTTGTGAAGATCAGACCATTCTTCGGGTTCATCAATCACTACCGCTCATTTGTGCCTGAAATGCATCGAATGCGAGGACCGCTAAATGACCTGGTGAAGGGTTGCAAATGGGTATAATCACCTGAATGTCAAACCGCATTTGAAGATGTCAAGTATATATTGTGTTCTGACCTATTGCTAACGCATTTTAATCCGGAGTTGTAGACCATAGTTGCCACTGAAGAGTCAGACTACGGAATCGTGGGGGTCATATCCCATATTATCCCAAATGGTTCAGAAAACGCTGTGGCACACGCGGCCAGATCACTCACTCCAGCGGAACGCAACTTTGTGCTGATGGAGAAGGAAACTGTGCCTATAGTGTTTGCAACCAATCGATTTCACGAGATGTCATATGGACGCAAGTTCACGTTGTTTATCGACCACAAACCATTGGTTCCAATCTTTGGAAAAAAGCAAGGCGTTCCGGTCTGTACGGCTAGTCGTCTCCAGCGCTGAGCAACGACTCTAACTGGTCACAATTTCGACGTCAGGTACCGATCTACACACAATATTGGCCAAGCGGTACACAGTGTCAAGGATCCGAAGATTTAGTTGTTGCTAAAATCTGTGTGGAAACACAGTAAAGTGAATTGTATAGGTAGAAATTCGTCACATCTAGACTCACTCAGATAGCCGCCACACGCCCGGAAAAGCACTGTACGCGCGTTTCATCCTTTCGGGAATCATCAGCAGTGCGCATCCCATCGGACCTTGGTAGGGTTCGAACCCGCAAGTCGACTGTTGCCAGTCCGTGGTTGAGACCACTGACGTTCAAGGTGCCTTACCAGTAACGTTCGATATGGTTCAGGATGCGATTCGTTATGATATTACGTTACAACAAGTAGTCGATTTTAACGTCAATGGCTATCCTAAGAGAGTTACAACGCTGGAGTTTTAACGGAAAGAAGCGCTGTCTGTAGTCAACAACTGCTTGCTGTTCTCAGACTGCGTCGTCATTCCAGTCATCCTCCAAGAGAGAATGCTACGACAATTTCATACTGGCCACCCAAGAATGAATCGCATGAAATCGTTAGTACGAAGTTATGTGCATCGGTCCTCTATGGATTCCCAGATGGAAGTTCTAAAGAAGAACTGTCCCCGATGGGCCACCTTTTTTAAACAGCCCAGGAAAACGGAATGGTAATCCTGGCTAATACCTACGGAACCATGGTCCAGATTACACAGCGACATTGCGGGTCCAATTAATGGTCATCATATCCTCAGCGTTGTCGACGCCCACAATAAATGGCCAGAAGTGATTCCAGTGGTGAAAATTGCTGCAGGAGTCACTGTCTCCGCTCATCGACAGATATATTCTCATTTCGGTGTTCCCCATACCTTGGTTTCGTACAATGGTACTCAGTTCACTTCATTTGAATTCGCTGACTTCTGTCACAGGAACGCGATAGTCCACATAAGGTCTCCACATTTGCACGCACACTCAAACGGACAAGCAGAACGCTTTGTTGATACACTCAGAAGAGCCATAGTGGAAATGAAGGGAGAAGGCACCTTGGCGAAAATTACTGACACATTTCTTCCGACTTATCGTATAACTCCGAATCCGCAGACACTGGCTGAAACCTTGTTGCAGAGGAAAATCCGTGTGCCGAGTGATGCCCTCAGAGTCCGAAAGGAACAATTACCATTCCGCGATCTCCCGATGAGAGGTCACTTCAACACTCGACATGGTGCTCGCATGCGAGTCCTTCATGTTGGTCAGCAAGTTTTGTCGAACGATTATCGTAGCGACTACCCCAATGGGCCATGGACCGTGTGCGATACAAACGCGACAACGTGATCTACGGTATCCAGGTTGGGATGGCAATTTTGGTAAAACACGCCAATCAGCTGTTACAGGCAGGGACTGACAGACAACTGTAACAGCAAGTACTAGCAGAGAAGTTACCTAGAACATACTGGTTGACGAAGGCGAACCGGAAACCCCACAAGATAATACACCAACTTTGGATTCGCTGCGAAACCCGGTACCCATAGGCAGGAGCGCAGGCGCAAGTTCGTGTCACTCATGTAGGCCAACTCAAAGCTGAAATGTTATCATACAACTCCAAAAAGGAAGGAAATCAATAGGCAAGCAGCACAGACGCCGATACAGAGCTAAAGCATGGTCGATGAGCCGCCACTCTAATGCATGTATTGGACGAACAGATAGCTAACCGGATGAACCGCCAATCAGCACGTGAACAGTAATGATTGATTTGGCATAAATTAACCCTTCTAGATGTTTCCAGCGAGTTTATATACCGTTAACGAAGGTACGATTTGACGATTAATTTGGACAGTGTGATTAGCCAATACACCTCGCTTCCTCTCTGCTCGTCAGAAACCGGTCTTTTCCGTCTCCCATGGGGGTCATTGACAAACCGACAAATCAGATGAGGGAAGAACAGTTTACGACGACTGCGTCCAACGAAAATATGAAAGGGAAGGTGAAAAGGATTCGAAAAACAAGATGCGTTCACATAACTTACCGAAACTGGAAGGCGCATCGAACCAATTTGGCAACGTAAGGGAAAGGAACCGGTATGAGGGGCTGATGCAGAGGGACAAGCTTGACGATAGCGGCATCCACCTTGGGGATGGGAAGAAAAGCTGTTCCCGGGATGGTTTTGAGATACTTCACCTGGTGCAAAGTGTAACAACAAGAACGGTGAAAAGGCAAAGAACGGTGGAGAACGCGGTACCGAATTCTTCTGAGAAATAAAGAAAACCGTTTGAAACTAAGAATCCTAACGCAGACCCCGTGAACGCCGCGGGGCGCAGCATGCACGCTGAGATCTTTTACAGACGACCTTAACGATCAGGAAGCAAAGGTCGAACGTATTGACAATGAACGGACGCATACAGCTGCTTAAAAAGTGTATAAAAAATACGCACACAATGCGCGGCGTTTCGGTGGAGTAACAGTGACCGAGTAATGGCAGACGACAAACTGTGTTCGCAAGGTGCAGTGAGCAAACGTTCCCTGAGAAGTAACAAGCTTTATCACAAGCCGGACTGATGTGTCCAGCGAAATGCGAAGCAAAACGTTTTGGAGACTAGTTCGGTCGGTCCATAATGCCATATCGCACGTTTCCTTAATTCAGTTCAGTTCAGTTAAAGAAATATAATCAGAGTTCCGAAGTGCGGTGGGTCCAGTTACCACGACTCACATACCATGATAACAATAAAATTGGTAAGAAAAAGAGGTTGGACGTAAACAGAATACGTGAAATAGAGGCTATTAAAGCTCGCAAGACAAATCGACAGTGTTGCAGCGGACCCGCTGAACTGCACTTGAGAATGTTCCATCTAACGGGCTAATCGACGAGGCCAAGAATGAACCAACTGTTTACTCTTCTCCGCAATTGTCTCACAAACTGAGGGTTTGCTTGGACACATGTTCCGGATGAGTTAGAACACTATTCAGCTGTTGCTAATAGCCACGACTATTACCATCTCATGGAATCATACCATCTACCAGTAATCTTGGTGAATTTTAATACTTGTTGAAAATCGTCCTTTCAGGGTATTATGGACACTATGAAACTCAGTGCAACTAGAACCAGTTTCCGTTGTTCGGGCAAACTGATCGGTGTCTCAGAGATTCACTGACAGTTCGGACATCTCAAGCTAGTTCATAGCACGCGTCAAAAGCATTCTTCAGGACATACTTGAGACCATTCCAGTCAGCGTTCGGATCAGCAACCTCATTCATCACTGACAACTAGTGGGCCAGTTCGACATGATATTGTTGAATGGTGTCCTGCGAGTTCAAGTGACAGATGAGAAGCTTTAAGATTATGCGCTCCTTCGAGCGTCATGCGCGCGCGCACTGTAGCAAGGTCGTACGCCAAATTGACCGGCAGTCTTGACTGATGTACGCTACCTACAGTTAATGGCAATATGATCTATTTGCCGGAAAGGAATGATGAGAAGATAAAGATTGTGGTCACTATACAATTGTAGGAATCCATCGCCATTGACTGATCGGTGTGCAGCGACCCAAGCCGGCCCGTGGCCTTAAGGATCACAAGTCTGCCTTGTAGTCCGAGGGCGACTTTCACAATATCTTTAGCCCACGAGCGACTGGTGGTGGTAGCGCGGCAGCGAAGCGTCGGAACTGGGTACCGACGTACTGCTGATGCCTGACTTTTGCATCAACCCAGAAACAGCCTCCCAGCTGTTGTTCCAAGTACGATAGACAAACAGTTTGGGTAGTAATGTCACGATATCAGTATTTTTCATAAACGGAAGCAATGAAAAAGTCACCTGGCTTCAGTCGGTGCTCATTAACTCCTACAGAAGCTCAAAGTCGAACCGCATACATGCGTCTACTCACTGATATCCAATGGATTAGATTAAATCCAGCACTTTTGTTGAGGGCGATATCGATACCATAAAGACCTTGAGTCATTGATATACTATCGATAGAAACGCGAAAGGTGTGGTCATTGTTATCAGATTCGGAAGTAAAGAGTCGAAAATGGGTCACAACGCTGTTATCATGTAGGCATGTTTCAGAGACACGGCACACATCAACAACAAGAGAGTGAAGAGTGATAGAAAATGCTGCTTGCTGATTGATCTGACCCAGAGTGTGGACATTAAACGAACTATTGTGAAATGAGATCCTTGGTTTGAGAAAACAGTTACACACATCGATAGCATCAGTGGCGAGAAAAGAGTTACAAGAGGGAAAAACAAGAAGAAATAGTATTGTCAATCGAGTCTAGAAGACAGATGATGCCATTGGGTTGCTCATTCGGAGAGAACGGGTTTTATCCGAGGTGCCCTACATTAAGTATTTGGTTAAATAGCCTAACCCACAAGGCAGTGGGGTGCAAGTGCAGCTCAAGAGTGTGAGTGAGGAGACCCGTTGGAGTCTGCATAAGGTCTGGCACACATAAGTGTTGAAGATTTTGAACAATTCAAATGTTTTGGACTGTGTGAGCACGATATGGTCAGCTTCAGCCAATTTACCTAGAATATGGGCTACACCGGGGTGGGAATGCATACACGATAAGCTCGTGTGCGGACGTCGCACGGCAATGACCAAGGTACCAGGTGGCAAGTGCTTCTCTTGAGTAAGGCACATAAGAAGGAGTTAGCCTCCAGATCACTCGCTCTCACTACTAAAGAAAATTCAGAAAGGATGATAGCACCGTTAACAAACCTTAATAGTTGTGTCGATTCGAGCGGTTACAGCGTCGAAGAGTTGGCCGAATGCGTCACAATAGTTCGGGTATTTATGATGATGTTAACCATCTGTGGAGAATATCAGAGATATCCGGTTATTATATAAATGCTTGGTTTCTATGCTGAATTGCGACTGGAGAGTTTTGGGGCAGCTCCCTCCTAACAATGAAGTGATTCGTTCGGAAAGATGGACCAGAAGTCGGGTCGTTGTAAGGGAAATACTAACGTGGGGCATCGAAAGTCGCCAGGTGACTGTAGCTGGTTGTCACGGTGTAGATAGCTTAACTGAATGTTTTTTATGGTGTATAGATTTGCATTAGATTTCGCCTATTCCTTCCATCAATTTTTTATCTAGGCAGTTACGGTTGTACGGTAGCGATGTTGTTTACGAATCAACCAAGATACTGCGGGACTATCAGTAGTACATCTAGAAGACCAAATTTAGTTTGGTCGGTGAACGATGACGTGGTGACTTAATGGCGGTTTTTAATACCCGAAACAGTGGATCAATACTTTAATGAAATTTGTAGGTTGGTAGGACCTAGTTGTGGAACATCTAAATAAAATCAAGCGATAGCTAAACGATGCGTGAAACAGAAATTTTGATGAATTGAACACCAACAATACAAATCGGTAAAATGTTAACGTTGTCCGTAATAAGCATTACCTCGCAAAAAGCTTGCGCCAAGATAGACAACCTGCAACGCTGTTCACCCCACGCATCTGCAGCCAGCCGATCAGCAACCTCCTTTTGAAAAGTTAAGACCATAGGAACAGGGCCGAATTTCCAAAGACCTCGCCTTTCGGCCACATCATGCAGCCATTGAACAACGAGCGGAGTGGATATATTGAACGGAAGATTCCCAATGACAACAACACGAGGCTGTGGCTGATGAGTGGTGACAAGCGAAGATAAGCACGTGTTGTTGTCCAGACTGGAGGGAGAAGCTGGTGAGATATCCGACACCTCTTTGTTCCACGTGGATTCAATAGGGAAGATATTTTCTGCGTTGAATTGAAGGATATCCTAGAAACGGTGCAAAAGATGCAGCAGAATGTTCAGTAACTGATCGAGAGTTTGACTATGGTAATTGCAACCGTAATGATGTATAACATGGGAATTTAGACGACCAGACGCAGGTCTATTTATACATGGAATGGAAGACATCAACCGTCTGCATCACGCAAGTGCGTCAGATGCCGCAGATGAATTAGTGGCAGTGTAGAATAAAGACCGTTGCTTCACTAAAGCCGAGAATATGGGTATCATGCGGGAACGCACTAGGACATTTCGGTTGTATAGCGATGAGATCCGCAGCCATCGAGTCGTGTAGTGAGATCTCCCATTGCAGCTAATCCTGAAATAGTAAATCAGAGTTCCCAGCATTAGGGGGCACCATGTGGCCCGGCGCGTACCCCTGTACTGGAAAATCAGGCATGTAATGGCTGTCGATGCGTAAAAGAAAAATGTGGTAGCAACTGTAATTGGGACAAGCAATTAGTCCAGGAATGACCTTCGAGGTGGTAAGTGGCACAGACAGACTATCCTCTGAATAGTTACGTCAATAGTAAGAGTTGAAACCATCATACTTTGGACAATTAAAATGAGAAAGGGGGTTGCTCGAAGCGTTGAGCTCTGGTGTTAGTAAGCTATAGTTGGCATGTACATAAGTCAAAACAATAGAGAAATCCTGCATCCTATCCCCGAGTCGAGTCGCTCACAATTAGCTACCCAATGAGTCATTCAGGCGGCGCAGCCTCGCAAGCCAGTTCCATGGTGAATCCGAAACTGTGAAACCCGCAGACCAATGATTGATTAACACCAAGAAAATATAACTTGTCCGATTCACCCGCTGAATCGAGGCCAAACAGCCGCAGACGGACTGCGACGCAACCTCCTTGTATACGAGTCATTCAAACGCAGTACACATAAACTACGAAGAAGTGTAAGATAAGGGCGACCGTGGACCTGTCACCGGTATAAAAGTAAATCGAGGTGGAGATTACTGTCCTCTACAACTAATTCCGTATCGGTTTGCATCCGTCCAGTAGGGAGAACAGAACTGCGTCTTGAACCCAAGAAGTGGGGACTGCCACTTGAACTCCTTATTCCTACGTTACACTTGCCACGACAGTGAGTGGGTCACTGGAAGTAACTTTGAAGTAGTCCCATGAGCCATGAACCGTTGTGGCAAGTGCTGCCGCGCTAGGTGACGTAGGAACAGAGGCATCAAGTAGAAGTCCCCATTTCTCGGTTTCGAGTCGCAGTTCTGTCCTATCTACTAGACGATTGCAAACTGTTGTGAAATCAGCCGTAGAGGACAGTGCTGCCAACGGGAAATAGCCAAGTTTGTCTGTTTCAGATACGGTCTTAGTGATAAGATTGACTGGAGCTCACTTCAAGGTAAATGGTACTTCAGACCGAAAACTGTGAGTCGAAACCCATACACGCAACTGATGCCTGAAGGTTAACCTCCGGTAACTAATCAAGGGGTATTTTTACCTGACGTATGTGTTAAGGGAAATGCTCATTAAACTAAGCTTCATCAGGGCACAAGGTGCAGTTTAACAAACTGATTTCGGACAACCAGTATCTCCTCTGACATTAGAGGGAACGCATAACATACTTCTGGGAGAAAAGCCCCAAAAGATGGTGAGATGTCCGGTCTCCATTCACCCGTATGGTGTGCCAATCACATGAGGATATCAACAGTATATCGACGGGTCGTACCGACGCTTCACTGCAACGCAGCCGCCGCCACATGCATCTGCGCAAGCTCCAATTTGCGACCTGTGGGCTACAGGCCAGAGACCTGAACCATTCGACCACGGGTCAGCAAGAACCACAAAAAGATCAGGTGAAAGATAAACGAGGGAATTTGTGATAAAAACGGTTGGAGAGGAAAAGATATTGCAGTGAAACGTGCCGAAAAGAGAAAATGGAAGAATACCACAGAAGATGCAACTCATCATGAGCTATAAATATAACAAGCAAAAAGATCCAATAGCATTAATTCTGGCGCGAGAGGGCATTATATCCATATCAAACTGGCCCAATAGGCTCATTACTCTGAATGAAACGAGATGACTAGTAAAATCACCTGGCGATAAATATCCATTTTTACACCAATCTCAGCGGCGACTGTACGTAACTCTTCCAAAGTAGGAATAAAACGACGATCAACTTCAACAACCGCTAAATGTTTAGGCTGACAATTTAAAATAGCCCTCGTCAGTCCACCAGGACCGGGACCAACTTCCAGAACGTAAGCATTGCGGAGGCTTCCAGAACATTTGATGAAGCTGTTCAAAGAAGCCGGTTGCAGGAGGAAATTTTGTGACAGTTGTTTCTGCGCATGCAGGCCATAAATACGCAACACTTCCCGCAAAGAAGGCAGTGGCGGCAAGTGCAGAGGCTAAAAGCGTGAGAATGAAAAGAACGTAAGCAGGGATGCAGCAATGAATAGGGCTAAACAAAGAAATGACAGAGTTTCAGTGCGCTAAATTCACTTACAACACCGTAATAGTAACGAATAGCAAGTAAGAGTTACATATTGTTCGCTCAAAACAGGCATCTGTCACCTTCTCCATACATTCATGTCGCATCAGCGAGCAACCATGAAAAAACTCGGGAACAGTAAGCCATATTGTTAAACAATCTACGTGCAGGAAAACGGCTGGCAAACAGTGGACTCGACTCAACCATGGCGGGAGGCTTGAGTGCAGTGTCACAGAGTTTGCTGACAAAAAGTGACTGGTGGTCGTCAGCATTGCTCACCCGGTACTCAGACTAGCTTTAAGCAATATGTCGCAAAGAGATGCCGGAGGGGATCGGACATATTTCATATGTCTTCAAATCATTGTAGTCATGCTTCAGATCTCCAGCTCCACTGACCATGGTGAATACGTTAGTATTCAAATGGCCAAAAGATTATTAGGGGTTTGAAAAGTTATAGAGGTTACACCGAAATAAGCAACCCAATTCTGTTAAACTGAGTGAACACTGAATACTGAGAATAGAGAGCGAAAAAATAAAAAACTGTGGTGCTCCATCGTAAGTGGATCGGGCACATGCGCGGAATCATGTCGACGATTCCTGAGCAGTGGCAGCATATTGCAGTTGCCCTACATCTTCTCCGGGTGCGATACGCTTTCTACACCTGTAGTGCGCAGTGGGCATCAAGGAATCTCTTAAATTCCGACACCGATTTCGACTCGACTAGCGTCTCCGGCAATTTGTTCCAATATTTTACCACTCGAAGAATAGTGGGTGAGCAATGTGCTTTAAATCCAGTACCAGTAGGTTGCGCCAGTGTCCGCGTGTGCTGCTTGATATGCGAACGTACAGCACCTGGTTCAACATAGGGAAGTGGCCCAGGTGCAGTATCCGGTGCGCCATAATGAGATCAACTCGAAACCGACGATATGATAACGTATAAAGCCCTAGTCTCCTACATCGCTCCTCGTACGACACCCCGTAAAATGAGGATGAGCCGGGTAGCTACATGCTGGAGCCGTTGCAGCCTCTGCACCACACCTATTGTGATCGGGCAATAGGCGAGTGAACCGTACGCAAGCACCGGTCTTATCATGGAAGAGAACAGACGGGTGGCAATTTTTTTAGACCAAGTGAAGAAGCTGCGTCCAAGTGCCCAAAGCAGGCGTAGTCCGTTTGCGTACAGTCCGTTCGTGTTTTTGACAGACTTCAGATCACCGCATGAGAGTGTGTCTAGATCCTTTACGAAACTGGTGGATGGGCGGCCAGAGTGTACACGCATTGCGTGGGTCACCACCTTTTGGAATCGGCCTCACTACCGAGCATTTTCAGTCGCTCGGCAATGCACCCTCGGACAGCGATCTGTTGAACAGATCCGTCACGGAAAGCGAGATGATGGCCGATAAGGACTTTAAAATTAGCGGGTGAAGTTCATCGGGTCCGATAGGTATTGTGAGATCAAGACTGACGAGTAGACTGCGGACATCTACACCGCAATCAAAGCCCTCGAGTTTAGTAGGGGCTGTATACGTCGAGCTCGGCATAGGCGCATGCCCACTTGCATACACGGAAGCGAAGTACTCCACCAATGTGGGCGCACGTTCAGTGCTGAAGGTCAGAGGCTGTCCGTCAGTGCCCACTAACACAGCTACGTCACTAGCGGGCCTCAGGCGCCGCTTCACTTGAGCAAAAATCTTTTTGGAGGCCGTCCTTGCTAAGGTTGCAAACTCCTCTTCGGACTGTCGAGGTTTTCGCGCTGTTGTATAGATTCCGCTGCCTTTTGTACACCTCATAACCGTCGGCAGAGGCAGACACGAGGAATTTATTCTACAATACGCGTCGCCGTCGAGCCAATTTAGTATACTCTCTGTCGAACCAATTTGGCTTCACTGGCCCAGCTTTGTGATACTTGAGAGGTACGAAACGAGCGCACAACGATTGCACACCCTTTTTTATAACAAACCAACAGGCTCCAAAAGATAAACCCGGCATCGAGCAGTCTATTTCACTTGCAGCTCGATTTAGACCATTGAAATCGGTCTTCCAATAATTGAAGGACGGCTCCGGTAGACGCGAGTAGGGCAACAGCCCATAAGCAGGAAACGGAGCCGACTCATGTAGTTTTCGGCATGCGGCAACCAATCCAGGCATCGACGTCGCGGGCTGCGATAAGCCGCACCCACAAACAGTTCACCGTCTCAGGCAGATCGAGCAAAATAACTGTTCGCACAAGCCATCTTCGCTACAGTACGCGTGTACCAGTCTGCCGCACAGCGAGGACCAAATGTATAACAGCACGCCGCATCGATCGTTTGATATTCTGTCGCACCGGAAGCACGAGTAACCACTGAGCTGGAATTCCTGGGTATTGACCACAGGATTTAACCAGGTTCCGGCCAGTCCTAGTACGGCCGAACGACGTGAGGCAACGAAGTGAAATACATCGTCAAGTTTGTTTATTAAACTAAAATTTATGAAGGCTACGCGCAGGCCGCGGTAGGAACCGGCAGACGCGCATGAAGCGTCACCGACCTGTTGATCCGGGTTCGGTGGACCCGGGGAACTACCCTAAAATTTACAATGTGGGGATTGATTTCTTCACTACCAGTCCGCTGTTCCAATTCCACGATAGCGGACTTCAGTTCCTCTCTGTCAGACGGATCCAAATCGGGACGAATATGGATCTTTAGACCTCTTAGCCTACCGAGACGAAATAGTATCAGCCTCGGAATCATTGCATCAACAAACGTGACTCGCAGAAGCCGGGATTTCCCCTCCTCTCTCTTTCCAAGACGGGTGATTTGCTAAAACCCGCAACCCCTGTTCATTCACGTCGAGAAGTTTATCCATCAGGCTCTGCAGAAAATCCATGTCGTGATCATAATGAGCCTGAGGACTAGCGTCTGTTGACTCAGGCGCGTGAAATATCATAAGGTTACAACGCCGCTGATTGCTGGCAGTTGTTCTCTCCTTTTTGCTTCGCTGCATTCTCCATTGGCCTTTAACGCCTGCGCTATCGTACACCGGTATGTTAGTGTCCGTAGGACGCAACATAGGCACGTCAGCTGAGTCTCCAGCAACGGGTGGACATCGCGCTGGAGAGCCTAAGCCGCTGTGCCGGTGAGCTCGTTCGAACATAGAGGTGGCTGGGTTTCCGTTTGATTAGATGAACCCACGGAACTCATCCCTATGGAACGTTTCGCCCGTCTTGTAGGTTCGCGCGGCTTCTCGGCTGTACAGTGTCTCGGCATTTCTTGCACAATATTTGAACAAAGTCATGCTGGATTTCACGTTGTAGTTTAAAATGACAAATTAATACACGAAATGTGGAAATGCACACCACACGAGGCATGTAACGGCATTTATTCTATGTCCAGCTATTATACAACAAGTGCCACAGGGAGTTAGTTTCGTCATTACTGAGAGCTCAGCAGATGTGACGGTAAAGGCGAGAAAGTGGATGATAAGTACACAATACAAATAGTAGAGTAAAATGTACGGACACGAAACTAATACACAGCAAACAAATGCAGAATCGCAAAAGAAACTGAGTTTGACAAAAATAAACACGGAAAATCTGCTCTGCACTAGGTAATGAACGATACAAACTGGCCTGTCAAGTATAGAAAAGCCGTCCGGAGAGTGCTATTCCGGCCGTCCGGTTCTCTGCCGTGTATAGTAGTGCATGGTAAGAACGAAATTCTACCTATGATCGATTAGATTATTTGGCTATTTGAGTGATCAGAAGCCATATGCCAAAGTTGGGTGAATCCAGTCATCCTGACTTGTATAGCCAAATGATGATAATAATGACATTGTAAACAGCAGTAGAAATAATAATAAATGGTTCAAAAGCCATAGATAAAAATTTGAATCTAGAATTATTGGTTACCAAAAGTCGTGTGAACAAAACACTGAGAAAAAGAAGGCCAGCAAGCGCATATATGCCGTAGTGTTTCGCTACTACCCTTACCTTAAGTAGATCTAGTTATAGCTATCACCGTATAGCTTTTGGAAGTGGTGGATCGATTCACTTTCCTAGGAGAAAATGTACTCCTGAAAGGCAGTGGGCTATGCGCCATGTGTCGGGTCACCGAATCACGCAGCATGGACCACCGCCTATCTGGTGTACATTATCTAAGGCTTTGGCTAAGAAACCCGAGTTGTTATTCTGTTCAGGTGTAAACACCATGGCAGTGAACCAGTTCAAAACAAAACCATAAAATACACAAATACTGGTAATGTCATGTTGCTACGGCCGTCGCGCAGCGATGGGTGAAGCGAAAACTATTGTCTTATCTGCTGCATACAACGGGGTGGGTAAGCGAAAACACGCTACTGCTGACGCCTCCCTTGTTTCTTCTACCAATGCACATTCACTCCCCGCCCATTTTACTTAACCCACAAATTTCTCCAACCCAAGCCACCACACGAGTGACTGCCCGGTGCAATCGTATGTCTCCGTGCGAAGCGCTCAACATCGGGTGCTGGAACATGCGCACATTACTCGACCGGAACTCTAGTGAACGATCAGAGCGACAGAGTGCACTGGCCGCGATGGAACTCGCGCGCTACGGCATTGACATTGTCGCAATCAGCGAAATACGACAAGCTGCATGAGGCTGGTGCTAGTTACACGTTTCACTGGGTGGTAAGCGCCAGTACAGCACATGAACATGGGGTCAGATTTACATTATACGACCGCCACGATAGTCAACTGGTGGCAGGGGCGAGCGGCATCAGTCCGCGATTGATGACCCTAAGCCTACGACTTGGAATAGGTAAATATGCAATTCTTATTGGCACGTACGGCCCCACCATGTGTTATTCTGGCGACACGCGTGATCGGTACTATATTCAGTTCTCTTCCGTGAGACGGTTTGCGGCAAGCAGCAACTGGTCACTCTTACTGGGTGATTT